GGCTGGCCCAGCCTGGCCGCCCCGGCTCGCGGGCACGGGGGTACGAGACACCACCCACTCACCGGCGACCCGCAGACAGGCAAGAACTCAATTACCTGATCGAACCCCCCTGGATTTTCAGCCATGGCTGGCCGAATTGGACTCAGGTGTTTTAGTTACATGTGAAAACGCCCGACAAAGCACAAACACGGCGCACGGACCCGGCAGCTATGGGCGCTCCCTTTACCGAAGAGAAAGACCCTTGCGCTGAACGTACGGCGCCTTCTTCTCGGCGGTGCCTCCTCCCTCACGGAACATAAGTCACGGCTCCTGTAGCGCTCATGGCAAAGCCAGCTCTAAACGTTTTAATAGCAAAGCTTCTAATGTGTTATTTGCTTATTGTTAGGAGTTAATGTTCTACATAATCTGAACATTACATTTAATCTCTTGGCTAAATAAGGCAATAAAAGTATAATACTACTGTGGTGTCCAGCATTTACAGCATCGGAGAGCAGTCTTAGCGGGTCAAGCATGTTAGTCGGAGAGAGTGGGATAGCGTTTTATAGAGAATCCAGGATTTGGGGGTGAAGCCTAAAGAAGCGTTCCTTTCACACACCGTCACGCCAAATAAATGAATTAGCTGGATATAAACAATGTGGCAAATCCCTGCACAACCTGCGGTGCTGCACGTGCCGCTTCCCTTCCCCCTCCCCAGGAAAGGGGGCAAGAGATCCACTGGACCAAGCACGGATTTTGACGTGTATAAGGGAGGAGATGTGAGAAGAACGGGTGTCGTTCCACCAGGTGCTACGCCAGCGTCCCGGAGGTACGCACAGAGCACTCCCCCACGCCAGGCATTGGTCTCGGAAGCTTCTCCAGCCAACCTTAAGGAACGGATATAGGTCATGTAGCCTTGAGCAGCTCCCTTTTATAAATGAATACCCTTTACGTGTCTTGCAGGAAGATAATCACAGTCTAACTCCTATCCAGCCTGTCATTTGTTCATGCTATTTAAACGCCCCTTCCCCACCTAGGATATTCACGGGGCACATTACGTCTTTCTCAGGGTTGCAAAATTTCCTGGGGCAGTCTGTGCAAGTGCTCTTGTTATGGAAGTGACTTTCCTGTTTGTAAGTGCATCAAGAATTTGAAACATCTAGATAACAAAGGTGTTTCACATTTATTAAGTGCCACTTTACTTACAGATGAGCTATGTAACATGCATTCATGTGAACTGGGTATTTCTCCGGGAGCTATCTGCATGCCTGAAGGGGAATGATGGCTCTAACACAAGGCCACCAGGTTGTACACTCTGCCTGTTTACACAAAGCCAACGCATGAGGTGACGAAGGCCTTTTCGAAAGTGTTTTGTCCGTGAGAAATTCTTCTAGAGAATTTTTTATGGTACAGAGAAACATGACTATGAAACGGCAACTTAGAGAATTTGCATTATGTAGAACATTGCTGAGATATTTCCATTGGCACTCAAACCTTAGCCAGGCTCATACTCATGGTATCAACACGATATCAGCCTCACACTCATGATATCAACCCACCTTGTTCTTCTGGCCAGTTCAGGCCACCGGTTGCCTGCTACGGAGACTCGCCAATATTGTGAAGGAATTGGTTTTGCCTTGTTCTTCTGGCCAGATCAGGCCACTGGTTGCCTAGGGAGACTCGCCAATATTGTGAAGGAATTGGTTTTAAACTAAACCAGGGTAGGTTTAGACTGGATCTAAGGAAGAAATTCTTTACAATGAGGGTAGCAAATCCCTGGCAGGGGTTGCCCAGAGAGGGGGTGGAGGCCCCATCCCTGGGAACATTCAAGACCAGGTTGGATGGGGCTGTGAGCAACCTGCTGTGGTTAAAGGTGTCCCTGCTCCTGCAGGGGGGTTGGGCTGAGTGACCTCTGGGGGTCTCTTCCAACCCAAAACATTCTACGATTCTATGAAAAGATCAAAAATATGCAACTGGCCAATCATGCAATATTTCCCCAAACACCACCAGTGAGCAGTTTCTGCCCAGAAGCAAGAGACTGGCCTTCCTTTACCACTGCCAGCCCGGCCACAAATATGTCATCATATTATCAAGCCACTTCTTCAAAGTAATAGCTTTGAACTCTGGACAGGGAATTGATAAGGAAAACAACAAATACTTTCTGCGGCAAATGATCACAGCTTTCTTTCGCTACCTTATATTTTACATCTCAACAACTGTTAGATGATTCGTGCAGAATTTGGAAATTAGAATTTAGGGTTGCAGTAAGACATTACTTCCCTTCTGCTTTGCATTGTTTTTACATTGGTTGCTACTGGGAGGAGATCACGCTGTACCATTTTCAGTTTTCATTGCTAGCTTCCTTGGGAGAATAATATGTCAGAGATTTTAATGCTGATAAATTAGGCTGCTATAGCAATACTTAGCACCTCCATAGTGCGTGCCAGAGATCAGAAAGCCTAAGGTGTGAATTACTGCCTTCTGTAATTTTTAGATGGGGTAAGAAAGAAAGAGAGAGGAGTCGGTCTCCACAAATACGAGAGAGAGAGAATCCGACCTGGGGTGTGACCGCCGTGCTTCCCCGGTGAGATCATAAGAACATCATCCATTTCTTCTGCATTTATGACTTTAAACAACATTTGATTCTGATCTCCAGACAAATGAGGCTAATCCTGCCCTATGAACACTGCCTACTCCTCTAGCCTTGCTGCATTCTTGTGAGTTCTAGTAATTAAAGTGTTGCCCTTTATATTACATGTTCTTTATATGCTTTTAAGTTTATATTGAGAGCTGTCTAGGGCAGGATTGTGTCTTCCTATGTGTGGGCAGCGTTTACCACCAGTAAAAATATCTTAGAAAAAATTAAACTACTAACTCCGGAAGGTTTCATTCAGAAGAAGTTAACAGACTGCATGAAATGACAATAAACAGAAATCTGCAGAGCCCACGAATCCCTTCAAGAATTTGCCACAGCAGAAAACCACGAGATGCCACAACCTGTGGTGCTGAGGGTCCCGACCTGAGCCTGAGCTCAGCCCGGAGACACCCAGCCCACCCCGGGTAGGGGCACTCTTGGAGGGGTTTGCCAGGACGTAGCGTGGCTGCATTGCTTGCACAACACCATGGGTTTTGCCGCGTCGCCTTGCGAGGTGTAGAGGTGTAGATTGGTTCATTCAGAGCTCGTGCAAAATTTGCACAAGTGAGAAAAATGCTTCTGCTTCATTTAGTACAGATTTCTCGTTGTTTAGCCCAAACGACTTCTCAAGTTCTAGTGGAATATAGTGAAGCAAAACTAATATTAACGTCCTTTTAGGCAGTGGACTTAAAGTAAATCATGAAATACACTTTAAAATGTAAGCAGAGGTACTGACTGTATAAATTCATCCCTCGCACAGCCCAACAAGTTCTGAGGAAGAGGAGATATTTTAGGGCCTTTAGAGTAGAGACAACTCTTCTGGTCAAGAGTATAGTACCGTGCAAACCTGCACGGCTGCTTGGAAATTTGCCGCCCACCAAAGCCCACAGAGGAGCGTGGCACAGAACTCAAGCAGCCTAGCAAGGAAAAGATGTACAGAGCTCCCAGCGTGCGGTGATTTAACTCTTTTAAGTGCAAGGGCCTTGCTTTTCCCGTTTTGCTTCTGCACTTTTGACTCTGACATCCTCAAGTCTGGAACACGATCGCTCTGATCAGAAGAGCTGACTGAAGTTATAATAAGACACGAAGAAGGAAGGCAGAAAAAAACAAACCAAATCCTTTTCAGGAATGGCTTAATCACAGCCACTGCTACTTCAGCTGTAACAGGACGGGCACAATTCAAAACAGGGCAGCGAAGTCTGCTGTGATTTGGGCCGGTTATTCTCACATATTTGGACAAACCCAAAATCTGATGCCATCATCTCGCTGCAGAGGGAGGAAGGTGGAACTCTCATTTTAATTTTCTCCTGCTTATCAATTTTGGCATTTCCAGTTACTCCAGGACCTGGAAATAATCTTGCATGACATTATACTATTTGAATATTTTTAATATTATAATACTTTTAAAGCATATGTGCAAACCCATCAGAACCGTATGCCTTTGAGATGCAGGAACTGCGCTTCCACACACCCTTGGCCAACGATCAGAAAACCGGAAGGAAGAGAGAGAAAGGGAGGGGTGCAAAACTGGGTAGGCTATTAAAGACAGCAAAATCCTGAGCTCCTGTTTTATTAAACATAAAGTAATGATGCAAGTCGGGAACTGACTCCCACACCATTAATGTTCATTTGCAGTGAACCCACATGATAAAGTTTGAAAGGTAAAAAGTCAGCACCATGGAAACACGATATATATGAAATTAAAAAAAATCAATACATCGAGCTGGATGCATCAAGAGCAGCTTTCTTTGGAAGAGTCCTGGCAGCTCGCAGTATTTCCTAAGCACAACGAGCAAGGCAAGTGGGGAGGGGCCGGCCAAGCACACATGGGGCCAAGTGAAGAGCGTGGCGAGGGCTTGAGCCACAGGGACTGGGGGAGTGCTGGTCTAACTGGAACACTAAAGACAGAGACAAGGGCCTGGTTTATGCTCTTACCCAAAGACCACACAGAAAAAACCACTACAGAGACTTGTCACAGGAACTAGGGAACAGATGGGGTTATTTTTATAGTTCTGCCATATCTTTTTGTTTCAGTTCAAGCAAATCTCAACTACAGAGGACTTGAGAGGACGTCAGAATTTTTTTCACGACTCAGGATAATGAAACTGCCATAAACAAGTACTTGCCGCGCGTATAAATGTGCAATGCAGTATTTCATATCGGGTGTCCCCTTCTTCTAGAATACCAGGGATAAACTTAG